TTGTTGAGGATCTTTTGAAATGTGAAAAGAGCCAACATGGAAATCGGCTTCAATATTGACCTCAAATTGGAGAGAAATGTATCAAAATGTCATATAATTTCAGAAAAAAGTTCTTATATTCTGGAAATTGTTTTGTTAGAAGGATATTTTTTTTTTTAATTGACAATTGACAGTTGTTTAATTAGGACTTCTTCATATAGTTTTCATGGGCATATCTTGGAAATAACTTTCTTCCTTCCACAAACTCAAGCCACAATCTGTAATTACTTGAACCCCCGGAAAGTCCCCTGTGGAGGGTTTTAGTGGTACAATTACCAGTTGTGCGGTGCTTTTCTTGGGAAAATGTCATCAGTAATTGGGGCGAACAATGAAATCACTTAATTACGCGCTCTCCCTATTTCGAGTGCGCGCCAAAGTGGGTGAAGAAAGTACGGAGAATAAAACAGTAAATTAACATAAAATCTCTTGTCGACAAATTCAAAGATGTTGGGTGTGTGTGTGAACATCGTTTTCGAGTAATCTACCTACTCCAAAAGTGTTTCCGGCAACTGTTGGAATTAGTTCTTGTTCCACCGCTCATTTCACCACACATACACCAAATAATAGTTGTGCCTTTGTTATTTCGGCGGTGGGACTTGAACTTCCCTCCTCGCACACACTTTCTCTGCTCTACAGCACGGTCTTTTGGGGGGTGGCTGCAATATGTGCGAAGGGTATTACATGTGTGTATGGAGAGAGCGGCAACCCCATCAGTATTATTATATTTCATAAAAGATGGTTGGCCCGAGGGAGTGAGTTTCACATCAGTTCCCGCTCGAACGTTTACTATACCACCTTCCATAGCCATTCTTTGTCGTGTTGCCATTATATTAGTGGCACTGGTGTGCTGGTGGAGCTTGAAAATTACGGTATAGATGTTGCTGCTGCATATTAAATGACGTGATGTATATCAACGAATTAGTCGACATATAAAGTGGGTGACTGAGTGAATAGAATTGTTATGTGGGCGGCCAGGGCGCTCCGTTGGGGTGTGGGTGGGTATTTGTCTGAGGTGCTACAGTGCCACACACTCGGGCGGGGTGAAGGGTGAGACGTTGGCACTAAATACACAAACATGTCGTAAATGGGTGTGTTTTAGTTGTCAGAATGAGCTCTATCACTTGCTCTGGATATGAAGGACGTGTGGTGTACTGCAATAAAGTATATTTGATATAAATGGCGGCGGGGGGAGAAGTATGGGTATTATTTAGTTTCTCTGTGTGTGCGAAGGAAAAAGCCTCACCCATTGACGTGTGCGGTGGCAACTATGGGGGGTGGTTTGATGTATTGTTGTTCTCTGCACAGCATAAGAGAGGAACTATTGAATGAAAATGGGCGCGAAAATGGGTGGCTTTGAGCTCTTCAGAATATGTATGTTCGATTTGAATTATGAGCTTCGACACAACAATTCACACACCACACACTCAATATTGTATCCACCGCACCACGGTTACAATAATTATACTCTATACGTCCACGGCCCCGGGGTTTACCGCAAGGGTGGTCGAGACTCCACATCATCAGTAGTGGGGGTGTGGGGCGGAGGCCTGAAAAGGTAGAAATTGAATGGGGGGGTGAAATGGTTAGAATATCGTGTTCAAAATGCGGCGATATGAAATTAAATAGTGTTACGAGTTAATAATTGTTCGTGCTGTAGGGAGACTAATTTAATTATTCACAAAATGCTGACTTTCCATATCGATTGAGATGGTTTAATGTACACAACGGGAAATCATTTTAATATCCACGGGGTGAAATTGCCCCCACTGGTGGTTAATTTATGCGCATTCTCTTTCAATTGAACCCTCTAACATTTTTGGTGGCTTGCTTTCAATGGAATTTGTTGAACAATCATACATATTGAGTGAGCCTACAATGGATAATTACGGTTAAGTCGAACAAGGGTAATTGACTTGAATTAGTTCTTAATGGCTAATTGGTTTTATAAAATGTATTTAGTGCACTGAGGTAAAAAATAGTGGTGAAAATATTGTTGTTAGACTAAAATATTGAGAAGATTATATAGAGTTATTATCTAGTTAGAGGGAATATCAGTGGCACATTTCTTGAGAAATTGTTTCCTGCTTTCGTCTCACACAAGTGAGCAATAGAATGAAATAATTAGGAAAATTTCCAGCTATAACGTGATGAAAATAATTTCCTTGCAATTTCACCCCCAACATTTTGGTGGAATCCCATTTCACTGGCAAATTCACAAGGTGAAAATTGTACGTGATGCTAAGAGATTCCGCACCACCCATTCAGTGTTCTGCGTGAGGGGTTTGAGAGGGGTTTTCTGGGTGTGCTTTTGTATATCTTTGCGCACACACACAAAAGTGTGTGCGAATTGAGGGCCGGATGATGGGGCAGATACACAGCACAGAGAGCGCACCCACATATTGAATCTCTTGATTTGCTCCTGGTCCTCTCACTCTCCTCGCTTTACTCATTCATTGACTCACTCTCCTAATTGTAGGGATTGAACCCGTAATTTCCTCATGTACACCCTCGGTGTGTAATTTAATTCAGCCAACACCGACGCCGCCACGTCACAAAGTTGGTGATGATCTTCATGGCACAGATTAATTCACTTATTCACCTGCCACTGAATAGGGTCTGGATAGATGGCTGTGGGTGGCGAAGGGAGCGGGGGTTATTTGATGAGGTTGTATAAGTCGTCGTTTTCTACATGGGCCACATACACACATTATATAGTGCAAGAAGGGAGAAAACTTTATATAAAACGTGTCTACACGTAACATTAGACGGCAAGTGGGTGGATTTGGGTGTGGGTGAAGCCAGCCCAGCGTATAAAGAGCCTCTCACCAGACAGAATTCACCCCCAAACATGAGGTCTGAATAGTTGAGGGATTATATTCAACTATACTTTCCGTGTTTTCCTCCCTTTGCTTTTGCCGCCCACGTTCAGGGATTTTCATCTTGCCTCTCGGATGTACTCCCTCGGGCTGTTACACAGTGCTTTCTCCCCATTGTCTCCTCTGGGAGAGACACCATCATTCTGGCATCTGTGAATGTGTAATTTAACTATTTTACGTGGATCAAGAGATTTTATTAAGGGAAGAGCGCACAGCTCATGAAATTCCCTCTGGAGAGAGGGAAATTGAAGGGAAGAATCGGCAATTAAATAAAATTAAGACAATCTCTGAAGGGCTCATCATTTCGAAATCTTGTGTTCTTTGTACGTTTCGTACTCGTTTTGTGGGCGGTTTTTCCTGTTCTACTCTTTTTTGCAAATTTCTGCATCGCAGCACTGTAAAAGCTGCTCATGAATTTACATGAGAAAAAATACAGCATTTCCCTTTTCGTACAAAAAAAAACGAGAGAAATAAAATATTAATAAAATATCGATTGGGTTGAATATGAAGTTAATGGCATTTGAAATGGAAAAAAGGCCATGGTAATAAAAATCAGTCTAATTGATATTCCTCCCTGTGTGTGTTTGTGAATAACAAAAAAGCACACACAGACGCTCATGAGGGGTTGCTGAAATGCCCCGGCACGAGAGGGTGGCACACCGGGGGTGCTGAAATGAACGTCAAACATGCGGGGGTAATTGTAAAATGACAATAATTGATTGTCTCATGTGGGTTGAAAATTGCCAATGACATTTTACACTTTTTTGCAGTGTAATTCTTTCCACCCTCAAGCTCTTTCTGTGTGCTCTCAATGAGCAAATGTGGGGGTGTTTTGGGTGGGATTGAGTGAATTCAATTGAAGTGGGTTGCGCGCACTTGCTGGCGAAGGAGTGTGAAAAAGTATAAATTGACGGAAGGAGCGGTGAAATGTGGAAAGGAGAAGAGGATTTTTCCACTGACGGAGGGAGCATCGCATGGGGTATTTTAGAGGGGGGAGGTGGGGGAGAAGTGGCAAGATGAAAATGGGGAGGATGATTTCTATGGAGCGAGAAAGTGAACAAAGTTGTTGCGTCGCTATTCATCTTGTAGCTTCTCCAAACCTCCTTTTTTTTGCTGGCATCGCCATGGCCCTTTTTTCCTCGGGTCCTCAGCAGGAGCACACAAACCCACCCGACCGCCTTTTCCATGTTCTCACACTACTGAATGGAAAATTTTCCACTGACGACGACATTATAAAATAGCGCAGATATAAAGTCACAATAGTCGTCTGCGGACGCCAAAGTGTGGGGAGTTTTTTTTTTGCCTCCTAAACGAAGCATGTGGAGTCTCTTTTACGGGATTTTCTGCACACTCACCCTCTGGTGAGTTTGGGGGGGGGATGAGAATTGTGAGGGTGTAGAGAAAATTGTGGAAATTCAGCCACACCAGAAATAACATGACAGCCTAGCAACGACAAAATATGTGCAAAGCGCACACAAACACAATAAAAAAGAAAGAATGTGAGAGGGGAGAGGGTGAGAATTTTCCCTCATGATGAAAAAGCCGGTGGAGCTTCTGAGTGACAAAAAATGGTGGGGTGAAGAGCTAAAAGTGGCGGCAAAAATCTCCAAGGGGTGAACACGTGAGACAAAACACAGAAACTTCCCTCAACCCTGGACAGAGTGCTTGCCAGTGTTTTGCTATTTTTCAACCCTCTGCACAGAATCTGCTGGATGGAGGGTTTTTTTTTCTCGCCAGTGCGGCCTGGAGTGAGGGGGAGGCGAGCGACTGAAAATGAAAATGGGGTGGAAAAGTGTATGGGAGGCGGTCGACGGTTTTTTTTCCACCATAGGATGTTCCTTTTAATGGGAAATTGAATAATTGAACAGATTTCATCCCTCTTTATACATATTTATGTATTTATTTTCTCCCCCCTTGTACATTGAAAAATTTATCCACCCGTCGAGCCTTTTTTGCGCACAGCAACAATGTGCGAAAATTTGAAAATTTATCCGAGGGTGAAAGAATTTATCTGGCGTTTTATTTTTAATTTGTCTCAACTGACAATTGCATTATTAATGTGTGTTCTTTGGCTTCTCTTTGCAGTACTATGAGATGTCTTATGGATTGAATGTGGAGATGCACAAACAGGTGAGTCAATTAATATTCTCTTTGTTGGCAATAATCACTAAATGTCTGACGGTGACACTCGTATTGCACTGTAAATGTTGGCGAATGTGAGAATTAACTCTCTGCTTAATAATAATCCCAATTGTAATAACATTAATTTGATATTAGCAGATATTAGAGACAAAGACAAAGATGTTTCCAAGTGTAGCCAAAAACTGCGACGTGATGCGCTGCTCAAGGGTTAAAATGGAGAAAAAGGGCATGAATGTGAGTGAGTGCGATTTGGAATATGGTCTCGTCTATTTGATAATGTACAAATGCATGTACGTCGGATTAAAAACGCGACGAGGACATGTGAAATGGGAGGCAAAAAATCTTGTTGCATTTTTCCTAGTAATTTTTTTTGCCTCTTGTTCACGAGGGCGTTAGAAATGCCCAACAACGTTCACTCTCGCAAGCACCGCGAAGCCTGCCTGAGTCAATGGATGTGAGAGGATTGAAATCATATGAGCACTTTTTACACTCAACATTCTCTGTATGTCCATGGGAAAGTTTCATACTTTTATTTTAGGATTTTTTGGGTGGAATACATGCTGGGAATTGTATATGTGGTGGGGACATGTCACAGAGAGAGAGAGGGTGGATTGTGAAAAATCCATATGAGAGACAGTGTGTGAGAGTTGTTATATTTTTCGCAATATTTCACAATATTTTGCACAAGTTGGAGAGTGAATTGACAGTGTTGGTTGGGTTTTTGTGCAATGTTTCAAGAGATCATTTCCAATTTTTCCGGACACTTTTCCTCACTCGCTGGGAAATGGGATTTCCGAACAGAGAGAGAGAGAGAGAAAGAGAGATAACATATCAGCCATCTCAAAAATGCATTTCATTCGCCAGAGTGGAGTTCCTCGACTCTTTTTTTTCGGTAGGGTGTTAACGTTTCTTTCTCACCCTTTTTCGGCGGTGGAGCCCCAGTGTGGATGTTTTTGCTGGCAGTTGGGATACATGATGGTGTTGTTGGCGAAGAGGACCACACCAGCATCAACATGAAAATAAAACGACAGCAGCCTTTTTTCCATCAGCTCAATCCCATGCGCTCTGGTATCCTCGGCAGTTTTTGCATTTTCCACTCTGGGCATTGGAGTGAAGGCAAAAAAAGCCCGGCACTGGCCACGATTTTGCCCCATTCACTTTGCCATCATTCCTCAATAATACATCAACTCATTTCCTACCCACATTGGCGATATACACCCGCTGCCACCCCCAAAAAATACACGGGCGTGTGTGTATAAATGAACGGATGAGTGGAATAAAAATTTCATCCTCCACGAACTGGGGAGAGAGATCGTCCAGGAGAGAGGCCAAATGAAAAATAAAATACCGCCCAAAAAGTGGTTTTTGCGAGTGTGAAGGGGATGAATTAAAAGCATGTGAATATAGGAGCATCACGAGTATGACATTTACTCCCCTTGTTATAATATGTGTACAGAGAAAAAATAGCGCACAACCCCAATTCACTCAATAAACTTCTGTATAAATTAAAATATTTTTCCCAACTCTCCCCCGCACTCGGGTATATTCGCTATTAATTATTTAATACTCCGCCCGCCCTCTCGCGGGGGTGATTGTTAATTTATGCATGTGGCGCGAGGGGATGGCGGAATGGAGGATGATATGGAAGGAAGGGCACGTGAAAAGAATGAGGGTGGTGAAAAATCGATTAAAAAAATTTCAGCTCAGCTCTAAGTCCATCATTAATAATATTTTTTAATTAGTAACTCACTAATGAAATGCTGTAATCTCCATTGTGTGGGGGAATAGAAGAGAGGGTGGTTTCACGCCACCCTTGTTCATCTCACTCAAATTTAACCATTCTCCGGCGAGGTGATAGGGACAGCCGTGATTTTATGGTCACGCTCTGCAGCATCTGAAGTGACTTTCTACAAAATATACTCACATTGCTCTGTCCTTACCCTCTGTACAGGCTCCCTTTTTTTGCGCACCTCAACGGGTGGTGGTGAAGAAGCAGATTTTCCATGGTAATTTTCTCGTCTCATCAGAAAATTAAAATTCACCCCCACGATGTTGACGAAAATTCTATACACGCGCGTCACTTTCAATGCTCCCACTGGGGTTTGCGCCGTTTGGCGGGGCGGAAGGACGCAAGGAGGTGACGTACAAATAAAATTTTATCCCCCTCAAGACGACTTGAAGTAGAAAATTCCCAGTTGACAGGGTGGAAGAGTGTCAAATTGTGATGAAGATTAGATAATATAAATTTCCTCACCGCCACAGTCTCGCAGACGCACTGTGGAAGTTTTCATCTTCGCCAGGTAGAGCGACTTTGCCTCGGGTGGTGAGTCTCTGGGAGGGGTGGCTTGAAGTGATGGTGACAAAAAAGGTGTATGCTTTTTGGGGACCGAGAAGCAGTGGGTTAGGTTAAATAAACTCGACAGAGTCTAAAATAATCCATCCATTTGGCTGATGATGAGACGAGAAGATGAGGAAGTGATGGTGTGGGCATGAATCACAACACAACCAGAATCAACCATCCGTTCAACCCCAAAAAGTTCCACTCTGCGATTTTCCTCGCCCACGCAAATTTTCCTTCACCCCATGGAAGAGATGGCAAAAGTCTATGTCTTCTCTCCGAAGTTCCAGCCATTCTTCTTCGATCCCTCTTCTCATCACCCCTCAACACAAAATTGTATGACATTGGAGTGGTGGCGAAAGTATATAAAATTTCCTGTACATAACCACCCGATGTAATTTATTTTCCATCCATCCAATCCACTAAGTCAGTGGGATTTATCGTAAATTTTCCGTTTTTGTTGACGATAATCATTCCGTTCCGACTCGTTGTTCACCCACCCACTCTCGCCCGGCAATCTCCCCAACATCAGTGCCAGTGCGGAATCATTTAAGGGGCTCGAGTGTGGTGGTTGGGTGAGATGAGGAAATCACCCGGCAACCCTAGTTCGTGCGCTCTGAGGGGGTGGTGGCGAGTAATTCCACATTAACAGTCCCTGTTGAACCTGAAATTGCCTCTAACCATGTCGCCTCCAACCCCCGAAATACTCATGGTTTGTGGTGTTGGAGGAAATAAATGTATTTGCGACAAAACACCCTCTTGGCTCTTGTACATTCTCGGGTGGGGTGGCAGGAAAAGGATGAGTCGATTATATGGCTTTTCCCTCCTTGGGAAATGTTTCTCCCGCCAGAGCAGCATTTGGGGGACGGTTGACGCTGGCGGTGGTGGGATTTTAATAATGCCATGATGAGAGAACGAAAGGGGGGAGAGTTTGAAATGAAATTAGGTAAATTTTCTCGGGTTCACTCCCTTCACTCAGCACATCTTTTTCTCTCAATTTTCATCTTAATTCAAACAGTGTCCGCTCCGCAACCCTTCTCGTCAATTTGCCAATGTCACGTGGAAGCGAGAGTGCTCTCTGTGGGATTTTCTGCGTCTCTCTTACACCCAATGTGATCCTTGTTTGTCTGGTTGGTCTAAGGGAGAAAGTATGGGTGCCACAGTCTTTCGCTTATTGAAACCACAGAAGGCCAGAGAGAACTTGCATGGTATTTACCATGTCTAGAGGGCTTGGAATGCATTTCTAAAGGGTAATAAGTTGAATTTCTCTTTGCTCACTTAACCTCCTGAACTTTAATTAAGGTGAGAATGCAGGAAATTTGAGTTGAGTTGAAACATCTCTAAACACTTGTTACTGCGATGGTTAGTATTTCTGAGCGTTGGCAAGACTTTAATTTAATTGAATTGCAGTCTTTCTTTAACGTAATCTCCTCCCACTCGTATGCTCCGCCCATTTCTGAGTTGCTCTTATTTTTCCTTGCTGATCAACCCCTTGAATTGCGGCTCCGGGTGAACATGTCATTGAGGTTGAACTTGGTCTCTTTCACTCCCATTTTCTCTTGCCTGAGTTGTGAGCTTTTGATGGTGCAATGTGACACAGCGTGGGCATGGGTGTGAGGCGAATGGGATAACCATGGCTGAGTGGAATACTATATGCACGTATAAGAATACCACATAGAGCTGTAATGTGCAACCGAGGATTCTGAGAGTATATGCGTTGGAGTGTGTAAGGTTGAGCGCCAGGTTTGGGGACTACATGAGTTTTGCAGCCAATATGTGTGTACGAGAGTTTCTCTGTCTCTCAGGTTTGGAAGCAATGGCTGTTGGGGTGGATGAAGTTGGAGTTGTCGACGAAATAACATCACACCAGGCATTTGCTTTTCCACCACACCAACATTGCTACTGGCTGCGACTGAGTGGAGCAGTTTTCTATTTGGCACTGGAATGGGTGGTTGTTGCGGTGGAAGTTCTCATTGCCAAGCATTGAGCTTTTCCCTCTACTCGCCGTACACTTAATACTATGGTTTGTATATTAGAGGAGTGAAAGCTCACTTGTGTGTAGAAGTGTTTGGGGTTATGGCTGAGGTGGGTTCGGGTGTGTGTGGGGGTGGATGAAATGAGAAAAACAGACTGCAAGTGAGTGAGAGAGGAGAAATGAGAATTGAGTGAACTCAACTGCGATCTTTTCTCTCCCCAGCGTGTACATTCAACATTTATTTAATGGTGTGTTCTGTTCCATGGCTGCTCCACTCTTGGGTGAGGTGGAAATTGAGCCTGAGGGATGTGAGGAGGCAATTTCGACGACTTTCACCCCAGAAATGGAATAGGGAAATGGTGTGAGCAAATGTATAAAGACGGAAAAGAGCCATGATATTACGTGAAGCGGTTTATTCGGTTAAAGCAGAGCAAAATGCTGAGAGACACCAGGGTCGTACTTTTATTGCCTTCCATATATCCTCAATCATAAAATCAATGGAGTTTTCCGCTGGTATTTTTGCACATTTTTTTTCTCCTTTTTCTTCCTCTAACCAATTTTCCATGTTCCTCTTGCCAAGTGTGAGTTCACACTTAACTCGCAGTCCTCTCGAAATGAAGATGTATAAATAAAACACCGCACAGCTCGTGTCTGCTTGAATTATCCCCGTGAGAT